TTTATTTAATAATTATTGATAACTAATATTTATTTATTATTAATAATAATAAATAACAATTAATATTAATGAGCGTTATAATTGGACACAATAAGTTTTTTACTCCAAGTAACGTTTCAATAAGCTCTATACTGAAGAGAGAAAAATAATATTCAATTATTTCTCACCAATAGGAGATAGTTGATGATAAAAGCCTCTGAAAATAAAACAAAAACAAACAGTCTAAATGTTAAAACGTTTGATCGAATCAGACATAATGGGTAATTAAGAGCTGAAATGGCGAAGAGAGAGAAATAATATTTTATTAAATGTATTGAATATTTTAATAATATCTATATGGTATTATAAAACATTTGAAAAAAACTTTTAAAAATCATTTTTTATGCATGAATTACTGTATATTGATGCATATTACTTAAAATTAAAAATTACAAGTAATTATACACAAGTACAACTTATTAAAACTCCATGTTTGAATTCGTGTAACTAACTGTGGATGAACATTTTATTTTAAAATATAAAAAATCTAAAATATAATTATGATAATTATCTGACTTCTAACAAAATAATTAATTATTATCTTTATAAGAAAATTATATTATTAAAAAAATATATAAATTAATTTGTTATTGAACCTAAATTAAATTATAATAAAAAAAATTGAAATAAAAATTATACAAAAAATGAGAAATTTTAAATAGTTAATTTGATACTAATATCGATATATTTTTCTCAAATTTTTATGATATTTTCAAATTTATATTTTTATTAAAAAATAAAATCATCGTCGTTTTTTCAAAGACTATATTATAACATCGACTGAGATAAATAATATAATGAAATATTAAAATCAAGATGTATCTCGCTGCATTGTGCGAGTACCCTTCTAGTAGTTAATAATAGAATTTCTAAATAGTTGTTTGAGTTGAATGTAATTTTCTTAGTGATTTTAATTTTTTATATTCGAATTCCGATAAATAATAATAATAAAATAATTGTTACCCGATAAATTAATATTTTATACGTCCCAAAATAAATGTCTATATTAATTACTATTTTAGTTTTTTTCGAAATAAATGTCTATTTTTTCAAAAGGAAATGTCAACTTTCTACTTCTATTTTTAATTATATAATGTGGAATTTCTCTCTATGACCAATGGTAAAATTGTCTTTTATTTATTATTTAAAAAATGTAATAATTATACATTCATAAACCTGCGTGCATTTTTCATCGTGGACATTTATTTTGGGACAGAGTGAATAATATTTAATAAAACTAGCTGATAAGCTACATAACATTGTAAATGAATTAAAACGAAATTTTGCAAAATTAATAAGTATAATATACGGGGTGTAATTGCGAAAAATATTCGGAGTTTATTGAAACACTGCTTAAATTAACGTCAAGCAAGTTGTCTTTTCAGTAATTTCAAAAATAAACTAACTTATGGTTGTAGAAGCAGTATTAGATCTAAACAAAAAAGTGGACTTTTGTAATTGTATTTTCTTATTATTATACATATAGGGGCAGGTTCAAACGAATAGCTAAACATTTTGCGGTCACGGTAGCACTTGTGTAATTACTGGGCCGAGAGAGGACAATCCAGATCGGTCACTCAAGATCTTTGGTCTCTGGCTGTGAACCAACAAGCAAGTCGAAATGCTTTGTTAGAAGTTCCAGTATCATATATGATTATATGTGTGATACACAAGTTTGATCATATATGATTAAACACACACAATGAAGTGTAATCATATATGATATTGAAATTTATCATCTTCTTGCAAAATACTGAACTTATTGCATGATCTTCCCTCCCCCCCCCCCTCTCTATGTGCATGAGAGAGAGAGAGAGGTGGATTCCGATGAGAACTTCTCAACATGAGACCGTGAGAACTCTCTCACAACCTTTGATCCATTTTTTGTGATGATTAAAAAAATGGTACTGTTTGCGTGTTGATTTTGGGAAGAAGAACAGGCAAAGGCCCGTTAATGTTAAGATTTAGTATCTCTCATGTTAATGTATGCCAAAATTGACATGTTAAGGTATGTATATTGAGATATTTGTCCACCTATATCATTGCCATCGAAATTCAATTTATTTACCATCACGCCACAAATATTTTTGTGGGGCGTTGGATCAAGCAACCGAAGACATCCAAGGACAAAGAGGGGAGTCTCGTGATTCTTAAGGTAATTTTTTTGCACCTGATCTCAACTCTCTCTATATCTTATTATAACAAAAAACTGCGATTTATTTTTACCTGTTAACAATTATTACATCATATTTGTATCTTTGATTTAGTTTACAGATTTCTTATCGTTTATCCATGTCCACAAACATATCAGATATTTAACTAACATATATACTTCTTTGTTAAGTTAGGTTTCAAGATAAGTACTGTATTTTTAGATGGATGCATGATTGGATGTGATGAAGACGTAACACCATCTAATCATTTTAGTTTGTTTTTTTCCCGACGCATATTGCTTGCAACTTCTTGTTTTCAAAAGCAATTATGTGACCGATTTGTTTTATGAGTAAGCGGATTTACGTTGATGTTCATTAACTTATGGTCGAAACCCAAAATACAAATTTGATTAAGAAAAAGTAAAAGACTAAATAGACTATTGTAGCAGTCAAGCAATTAGAAAACTATATGTTTCATAATACAGTGTTTCCGAAAGTGTACTACCTCAAAAGTGCCTAGAGGTGGTTTGAGTTTGGGCTACAAAGATCAAAAGTGTCTGAAGGTCCCAGATTCAAATTCAATGATGAATAAAAATCTTCTTGTGGCTACGGAGGTTTAGATGCGGTGACTCTGGGCTACCCCCAAAACAGGTGGTCACACTGAGATTAGTCGGCTTGCATAACGGGTTGGATATTCAGATTAATAAAAAAAAATTGGAAGAAAACATATGGATAATGATGGTTATAAATAACTGATGTCATTTTATATTTAAACAATAGGACACAAAAATGACACGTGAATACTACAAATATGTAGTTTGTTTATTATAGTAAGAGTATCTTCAACTGATCAATACTAAATTAAAACACTTTTATATGTTTGACGTATATTTATTAATTTATCATTTAAATATAACTACCTTTTTATATATCAGTTTAAATAAATTAGTTAATTTTTTTATTTATATAAAAAATATAAAACTACATATAAATATTTTTTAATATATTAATAAATTTTGATAAATTACTTGAATTCATACTTTTATGTTTTTTATACCAACACACTTAATTTAATATTTAATTTTATAACTTTTTAACTAGTAAATTCTTAACCAATTAAAATAAAACATTTATCAAAATTAAATTTTATTTGAATTAAAGTAAAGTTTATCAAAAATGTGAAATTTTATCAGCTGGTTCATCAACTAACCAGTTTAATAACCAACAAATAGTTGTCATTTACAGCTAACGGATACCTTATTAACTAGTTTGTCAAACATAACCTAAAAACCAAACAAAATGGATTGAACCTAGGATTCAGAAAATGGTTCGAACCCCAGGTAGACCGTAGCCAATATCGGGCTGCATACACCAAGAGATTGCTCGTTAACTTTGGCTCGTTTACATGATAATGCTTTCGACTACAACATATAACAAGGATAACATGCGTGTATGTCTTTCGAACATTGTACCACACGATTCTAAGAAAATTGTACAATGAATCATAATCACATCAGAATAATTGATGTTCATGAGCAAGAGACATTCACAGAAACAACCGCTCTACTCCTTAGACAGAGGACAAGCCTCCATGCATCTCAGTATCCCACCACAAACCCCACCTTCAGGTGAGATATGTTGGGCTCGGCTGGGTTGGGTTGGGACCGGACCCACAATATTAGATATATGATAAAAGTCTAAACCAGGACAAGTCATCATACATCACCACTACAGTTTATTGCTATATGATAAGAGTCTAAACTAGGACAAACCTTACAAGCATGTTTCAATGGGCTTTGCCTGCGTTAATCGTAACGTGACCATGACTCAAAAAGCCATCGCTCATTGACGAGTGAACTTGTTACAACGGGTCCTTTTGCCCTAATTGAACACAAAAACTTGGAGAGGATATGTTATGATTGTTATAGATGCTATTTAAAGCAACAAAGTTACCATTTCTAATAAGAACACAATTATCATAGCGCGTTTATCATTCGCTTCATCTCAGCAGTCCTCCGAGGATCTGGATCTTCAATTGCTCTTTCAGTTAGTACATGCTTGATCCTGCACATTGATTTCCTAACCTGCAATTTAATCAAGAGCGAATACTCTTAGGGTCTGTTTGTTAGCAGTTTAATGAGCTTCAAGGAACTCACAACTTATTCAGTCAGCTATACATGTCCGTTTGGCCGTGGCTTAATGATATAGAAAGTGTCTTCTTTAGTAAGCTTCTAAGGGGAGCTTTATGCAAAAAGCCACGTTTTTCCCAAACTTGTCCCTCCCATCTATGAAAAAACTCTCCCAAACAAAAACCTTCTCATTATATATAAACAGATTAATCCATACAGACAACTTTATTCATACAGACCATAATGAAAAACCAACCAAACAGCCCCTTAAGGCAAGGTGAAAAAAACAGAAAAACCAAACAAACCCGGTATATCTCATTCAGAAGTAGGGCATGTGAGTTAAGATGTTCGAAGACCTGTGTAAAAGGATCCTCTTTTTTTGGATTTATAAAAAAAGAGTCCAACTTAAGAGTGTTCATATTATTGTTTTTCTTCGCTACCCAGATGTCTGAGGCAAGATAAAAACGAGAAAAACTAAACAAAGCCGGCATATCTTATTAAGAAGTAGGGTCCTGAGGTTAGGATGTATGAAGACCTGTGTAAAGTAGATACATTAAAGAGATCATTGTAGAAGACCTTGAACATGCATACACTTTATGGTACATCATGTTGTAACATGTACCGTCTGTTGTCCATTTCATTTTAGTTTTTAGTTCCGTCTTGTGGGTCCCATGCCATGATGTGAGGATGAATGGTACGAAAGAAAAAATCAAATCAAATGGGCTGAAATGGGCCCCAAGTTCCAAGCCAAGCTATGTACCGCAAAGCTTCAAAAAGTTCCATTTAGTTAGCCTGCCATAAGCTAGCTTACAAGTTTACTTTTTAAAAAAGCTACTTCAAGCAGCGTTTCAATAAACTACATAAGCTTTTTCCACTTTTTTCCAATTATGCCCCTTCTATTTTTAAACTTAATTTTTCAACAATGTTATTTTAGGTCATTTAACATTGTCATCTAGCTTGTCAACTAGTTTTTACCCAATACGACTAGTTCATCGCCAACAATTAGCTTATCAGCTAGTTTGCCAAAGATAGCCTAAATGGGGCAGCTAATAGATGAATAGTGTCAAACCTTAGGTAGCCGCTCCGGATTAGGAAACCGCAAGTTTTGAGCATGAAGCATCTGGCGTTGAGTCATCAGCATGTTCTTTTCCTTCAACAGGACATACCACAATTTGTGTAGATCATCCCAAGACTTGAGGCGCAGTTCTGAAGCCTTCCAACTACGTCCTGAATAAAAAACATGCAAGTTATTTTAATGTGACAAAGGAACGAGACAAATATAGATGATCGTTAGCGTATGCAAATAACAAGCATAAATGTAATGTAGTTTACTAGTTTTACTTCCGCGGAAGCCGGCCCTGACGTGCAGCGTAGATTGTCAGAGAACCTCGCTCCCGACTTAACAGACAGCATATGTACCATTCATCTCCAATGTATTATACATATATTATGTTTAATAAATGGGAATTTTCAAGAGGGGAAAAATGAAAAAGAAAATGAAAAATTGGGTTGACTGTCAAAATTGCAAGAGGTAGGCTTTCAATCCTAGTTTACCTTTTTGTCAACTAGTAACATATATTTTAAACTAGTAACTTTAATATTGGTCCACAAGTTTCTTTATGTTGTTCAGATTAAGGGGGTTTAGATATTTGATCAATAGTTAAACATTTTCTTAATCAAATTATGTGTCCGATCAAATGTAACATTTTACGAACATAGCATTATACTTGTTTTTATTAATAGCAATATTAATTGTGTCCAACAGTAATAAAACTAGACCTAATCATTTATTAAATCCATCCTAAGCTCCAAAGTGTTGAAACCTTCCAAATAAACCAAACCAACTAAACCACCAAATGGCCTTGGTTTCAGTAGGTTAACGATTCTATTTCCAGAAAGAAAAAAAAACATGGCTGGTCAGCACTCAGCCCCGTAAAACCAAAAAGCACACCATGTTCCCTCCTAACTAAATCATTAGTCTGCGAAATAGTTTAAGAGTAACAGGACGACAGGAGCCTGGGGAGCCAATCTTGTATTAGAAAGCTTCACATCTCACTTACACTTACACTTACACCAGCAAGGTTTGTGCCAATCTATGTCCGTACCACTCCTCGCGGAGTAGATACCGCATCAAACAAAGTCTTTGACCAAGAAACAGGATTCCCACTACCGCTGGCAGGCCAGCCGGGACGTGAGCACGGTGGGGGAAGGGCTTCCCAAAAAGCCATCCTGGGCCAGATTCAGTATAGAATGAAGGGGAYGGCCCTAATGTTGTGTTGGCAAAGCCAACTTCTTGGGTTTCGGGTGGAAAAAAGCGGACATGGGGACTTCACTAGCCTAATGTAATCTTACACCTTCCAGTCTATGTTTAATGTTAATGGTTAAAAAAGCTGACCTATTTCAGCCACTAGGATGCAGTAGAAAACAAATGAATTCTGAGCTGTCTACTGGCTCTGTATCCCTCAATGAAACTGACTTCGTTTAGCTGGAGCATTATACCACTGTTACACCATTGTACGGATTGCTAGTAATTTTATATGTGAGTCAGCCACATTGTTGAATTTTCATAAGGATCTCCTCTAACTCTTATTTGTTTGAGATGCAGTATACAGCAGTAGCATGGACAGAAAACAGACTATAAAAGCATGAATCAAAAAGTATGATGAAAATTTATATAAGTGAAATAATAAATAAAAACCTATGCAATTATCTCAAGAAACTGAATTCATCACATGAATCAAGTCACAAACACATACATAAGTGTTGGCAGAAGTTACCCTTCCTAATCTTTAATACAGAAATATAATCTCTGATTTTGTGGGACTGTATCTCTATTGTTCACAAATTTTGGGACTTTCACTGTAGTCAGAAAGCTTCATTTTCTTGGTTAGCAAATCCCTCAGATTAGAAAAGGTATTCAGGGGCGGACCTATGAAGGACTCAGTGGGGTCCCGCGCACACGCTAAACCGATTTCGCAAGTAGAATTTCTTTTGTGGTATGAAAGGTGCACACACTAAACTTTGAGGGGTGCTCCGGGATGTTAGAAAACACAAGACATCAACCAAAAAGAACCGAAAAAGTCCCTTGAAATCAACCAAAATTGTCTCGCGAAATCAACCAAAAAACTGAAAAGTCCCCCAAATTCAACCAAAAAAACTTGAAAAAATCCCTCAAAATCAACCAAAAAACTTTTACCCCCCCCCCAAAAAAATATGGAGGAATTCGCTAAAAACACATCAGGGGACATTGCAGGTCTGTGATCCACCTTAAAATGCACCCCGTCAAAAATCCCTGGTCCTCCGCTTATGTATTTTAGGTCTTTTAGGTTGAATATGAACCAGTTTATCATAAATGAAATAGTACAGCATAATTTCTCTAAAACTTCAATAACTGTAAATAAAACATGGACTTGAAAGCATGTACCGTAGACAACAGGTTTATCCTCCTCGGGGTTTCGATCTGCCTCAAAGAACTCCTCAAGAGGATTATGTGCAGTCCTAACTGTACTAGCAGCTGCAGCCCCAGCAGCAGAAGCTTCTGATGTTGCTGTTGCAAAGAGTCTCCTTCCAAAAACTCTTGCCAAAAACATGTTAACACCAGAATGCTGCATGAGAAAGACCAAACGAACATGAAATTCTCATTTGGTAAAAAACCAAAAAGCAGCCAATCGACTACACAACACATTTACAGCAATAGGCCTGTTATAGCTGTGAACAGTTCAAGATTTGATGAATTTATAACCCTCCTAGAGCTTACAGCAAAACCCCAAATGCAGAATTATCAAAAACAAACCGTCGAACACTTGGCAGGCATTAAACGAGAACTAAAAGAAAATGAATTCAAAGTGTACAGCATAATAAAACAAAAAAAATTAGACAATTTTAGCGATGTTCTGATATGGGATTTCTAGTATGCTCCGGTGAGAGTAAAATCCGCGATTAAAGTGACGGCGAGGTGGAGTGTTGATCAATCAGTGACTGTGTTCGTCGAACACATAATTAAACGCAACTTAAGTTTACATAAAGACGTACCAAAATCAGAAGGCTATCAACGAAAAATGGAATACGAGTACAGAATCAATCGATCCCGCAGATCACTCTGAAATGGCGACGAAGAGGAACGAAGAAGGGATTCGAGATCGGCTGCAGGACGCTCCGATTCCTACTTGAAGCCCAAAACTAGATGCGTTCGGTTCAATTCAATGGCGCAAGCGCAACACATAAGGCCCTTGATAACATAACCCAAATTTATGGGCCCAATGCTTAAATAGCATACATTTGGGAATTACAGCATTTTCCATTTATTTTTTTAGGATAAATTGCATTAAAAAAATAACTTACTTTAATTTGATTCCTTTTTTGGATAGTGTATTTTTTAAACTTTTATTTTGATACCTAAAATGTAAAGTTTTAAATATTTAAGTATTCGGATAACTGGTTGAAGACTAATTTTAGATTAAAAAAGATTAATTTTAGATCAAAAAAATTCATATGTCACTAACCACGTCAGCAAATAATATTTAGTTGGATATCACATCACTCTTCATATCAGCATGATAACCGGTTAATGCTTCAAACGGTTATCTGGATACTTAAATGTTTCTCCATGTTTGATGTAACAATATTGAATTTTTTTTTTATTTTATACTCATTTTGACCAAAAATCAGTAGGTTTTGTTTATTGATAATCTCAATATAGATGACAATTTATTGAGTTGTATTGTAATTACTGGTTACATGTAAGTCACGTAATAAATTTCACGTCAAAATCAACTGATATTGTTTTGGCTGGAAACTGATTAATCAAGTACATATGTAGAAAATAGAAAGAATTAAGAGGCAGTTTACTAAATGTTTACTTGGTAAGTACTTACCGAATAAATTTATTTATCGGATGAACATGACAATGGCCAAGAATCTTACCGGTTAAGAGCGATAAGAATGATGGAAAGTCTTACACGGTAGGTGAATATTACGATTCTTACCCAGGTAAGCACTTACCCGGTAAATTGTTGCATTCAATATGTTTTGATGTACTAAAATCTTACTCATCAAAATAAATTATAGTGTTGACTCCTATAGATAAACACTTACCGGGTTATCATTTGGGTAAACAGCCCCTAAATATTAAAGAACTGTAAGTTTCTAAGTTTAAATCTACTATCATATACACTGGTGATGTCTGATATTTGACTGACTAAATTTCTAAGTTTAAATCCACTATCACATACACTTGTACTGAGTGATACTCTCGTTATTAAAGTTTGGTAGCTCGTAAGAAAATAGTAACTTAAAAAAAATTAATCGCAAGCTTGCAATTTTGACAAATGTTCTTTACGAAGATATTTATGAAAAATGACGCAATATACAAAAAAATACTGGATATTTACATAAGATGTTAAATATTGTTGTCTAACTATAAAAACATCATTAATACTGATCTTTTAATTGATGTTACCTATACCAAAACAATTTAAAAAAACCAAAGAACATTTGGCTTAGCGGTATCGTAGCATTTGGCCTTCTGAGAGGTCATGGGCTTTAAACATCACCAAATGTGAGGAGAATGTGTGAGTTTTATTTGTTGCATTTGTCATATCTATACTATATTATAAAACATTTAACAAAAACTCTTAAAATCTATTTTTTATACACGGAGTACTGTTTATTGATGCATATTACTTAAAATTCAATATTACAAGTAAATTGTACATAAGTACAACTTATTAAAGCTCTATGTTTGAATTTGTTAACTAATCGTGGATAAACATAATCAAATAGATGATAAACATCTAATTTTAAAATATAAAAAATATAAAATATAATTATGATAATTATTGAGTTCTAACATAATACTTAATTATTATCTTTATAAAAATATATATTATTAAACCTAAATTAAGTTTCTTCGTTACGTTAAATTAAATTATAATAAAAGTTTTAAATTAAAAAAAATATACAAACAAAAACTTTTAGATAGTTAATTTGATATTAATATTAATATTTTTTTTTTGCAAATTTTATATGATATTTTTAAATTTATAAATTCAAAATAAATAACATTATCGTTTTCTCAAAAACACATAAAATCATATTATATCAGCATGAATAAAAAATAAAACGAAACATTAAAACGGAAATATGTCTCGATACATCATACAAATATCTTTTTTTATGAATATTATATACTTAAAGAAAACATAAAACATAAAAGTTAATTTTGTTTTCTGATTAAAACATAAAAATTAAAATTGAAAGGTAAAATAGTCAATTTACATTGGAATTTGATATAAATTAATATTAAATTCAAAATTAAATAACATCATTAAATGGGGGGCCTATAAGACCCTGACGGGTTTCGTATACCTGTTCAACCGATGTTCGTAAATAGTTTTTCTTTTTAGTATGAAAGGTGACGGGTGTTACACAATGTTATAAAATATAAGAAATATCAACAACGAAAAAAACGCAAAACCCATCAAAATCAACCGCAAAACTTACAAAAAAAAACCCTTTGAAATCAACAAAAAAAAACTCAAAAAAATACCTGGAAAATGTGGAATTCGCTTAAAAACAAATCATGTGATTTTGCAGGCCTTTGATCCATTTTAAAGATGCACCCACTACATACAAAAATTGGGCCCGTCATTAACCTCATTTACTATTTTTATAGTTTAATACTCTCTTCTTAAAATAAGTGTCTGTATTATTATTTTAATCTGTCATAAAATAAGTGTCTACTTTCAAAAGAAGAATGTTCATTTCTCTATTATCTATACTATATTATAAAGCATTTGACAAAAACTTTTAAAAAACTATTTTTTATGCACAAAGTACTGTTTATTGATGCGTATTACTTAAAATTTAATATTACAAGTAATTTTGCGTAAGTACAACTTATTAAAACTCGTTTTTTTTAATTTGTGTAAGTAACTGCAGATAAACATGATCAAATACTGTATAAACATTTAATTTTAAATATGGAAAATTTAAAATATAATTGAGATAATCATTGAGTTTCTAACAGAATGTTTAATTATTATCTTTATAAAAATTATATTATTAAATCAAAAATAAGTTACATTGTTATTAGACCTAAATTAAATTATAATAAAAAAACTGAATTAAAGAACTTACACACAAAAAAACGAGAACTATTAAATAGTTAATTTAATACTAATATCGATTTTATTTTTTCAAATTTTTTTATGTTATCTTCAAATTTATATTTCATTCAAAAATAAAAACATTATCGTTTTCTCAAAATCATATAAAATCGTATTATATCGATAAAGACAGAAAATAAAAACTAAACATTAAAATGAAGATTTATTTCACTACATTGCACAAGTACCCTTCTAGTTTATTTTAATACAGATCGAGCAATTTATTTAACACATTTTTTAATAATATATAATTACTTTATAAAATAATTAAAAAATGGTAAAAAAAAAAATGTGACATTATTGTTTTACATTGAACGACTAAGTAAAAAGATTTTGGTGGGTGGCATGTTGGTCCCCTCTTATAATTATAATTGATTTGAAAGCAACACCTTCACGTTCCATTCCATTCCATTCCACCTTTTTATTTTATTTTATTTTATTTTTAAAAAAATACTGAGGTTTAAAAAGGCATGAGACATGGTGTGACGACAAGGTCAAGCTTGAAGTCTTACACCCCATGTGAAGGAGGTGACGTTTCCAAGACGTGACATAAGACGACAAATCTGTATGTCATAAATAGAATTATATATATATATATATATATATATATATATATATATTATAATCAGATAATGATATTAAAAAAATGTACATTCATATTAGAAGAAGAAAANTATATATATATTATAATCAGATAATGATATTAAAAAAATGTACATTCATATTAGAAGAAGAAAAACCATATAAGTTATTATTATAAAAATAAGTTTTTGACTGAATATTTAAAATAGTACTTAAAAAGGTAATTTTACAACTTTATTTTAACTATGAGTCTGAAAATTTTATGAATTTTGTGAAACTGTGAATAATGTGATTAGTTAGATATGTAAACATGTAAAATCTAAAGTTAAAAGTGTAACAACACAAAAGATTAAAAAAAAAGAACATTTTTTTGGAAAAAAAATATCACGTGTTACAGAAAAAGGTGCGTCATGACGTGAGTCACGCCTAACAAAAACGCTATGGGCCATTTTGTAACGACGGATACACATCTTGCACCGCCATGACGCGTATTTTTTAACACTGAGAAATATCAATAAAAACATTCATATATCTTTATATATTTATATATATGTTTATATAGAATATCCAAACGAAAAAACAACAATAGAATGGAGAGAATGAATATGTAATTTTCATTAATCAACAGTCCTTTAAATAGGGATGAGATACAAGTAGATAGCTACGATAGATATTGGTTATAATATATCTCTAGTATGTTTATTTTTTTCTAGATCGTCATATCCTTTAGACAATTACACACTTATCCTATAACAATTTTCATATTTAAATTTGAGTTTTGACGGTTAATATCGGTGGAAGAAAAAAACCTAAACCGTAAATAGTTGAAATTATATCTGATTTTTTTTATTAACCTGAATATTCAACCCGCTATGCGAGCCGACTAATCTCAGATTTCCAGGGCGACTACTTGCTTTGCAGATAGTCCGGAGTCACCGTATTTGAACCTCCGTGGCCACAAGGAGATTTTTATTTCTCTTTGGTTTTGAACTTGGGACCTCCAGGTACTTTTGGCATTTGGAGCGAAGCTCAAACCAATCAGGCACCACCCCTTGTGGTTATATCTAATTTTTGTTATTGTATGACAGTGATTTTATGATTTCGCTATGCATCAAATTATGGATCGCTCTATGAAATTTAAAAGTAAGTTTTTCAAAATATGAATTAATTTAAAATATGATTCTTCTGTATGCAATTTGCCGTTTTTCTGGTCAAAATGTCTTATATGCTTTCTTGATATCCAACTTATAGTCGGTTTTTAAGGTTCGTGATGTTAGACTTTATCATAAGACAGCAAAACGCAACAATCAAACCAAACGGATTAACGTATGTGAACATGTATATAACCATCATAATCACAATCGTCGTTTTCCTAACTTATGGTCGTTATCCAAGTGGTCAGCATGTTACACGTCAATAACACAGATAAACTATAATCATATTATGCGGGTTTTGAC